ATCTATCTATCTATCTATCTATCTATCTATCTATCTATCTATCTATCATCTATCTATCTATCATCTATCTATCTAGTAATTTCGCTCATTTCAATTTCTTTTTCTGTTTTTTTTTCCCCCTTCATTGTTTTGAGTCTCTCTTTTTCAGCTTATTCTGCTCATATCTGCAGTTTCTTCTCTATCCAGATACATTTCTGCTGTTTTTCTACTTTCAGCAAAGGTCATTCGTTCAAATTCAACTCGTGATGAAACCTTTTCAGCCTGATTTTATCTTCAAATGCCTCCAAACTGTTCAATCCAGGAAAACGTGCTCCTGCTCTTGGACCTGCACCTACTGCAGACACCTGTTGAGGTGGACGCACTGCGCTCTTTTATTCAAGTCCTAACTTCAATGCTTTTATTTATTTGTCTTTGAACTGGAAACTAAACTCACCCTGGCTGCTTTGGATGAGTAAGGGTCGTCGAACAGGGCCCAGACTTTGGGCCGGCAAACTTCGCAGCAGCCCCTGGACCTGTCGCTGCAGTCCTCGATGCCGAACCGCCTCGGTGTCTCCTTGTCGTCGTCAGTGTCCTCCGGGTCCGGCGGTTCGAAGATCTCCAGGGCCTCCTCTGCGTCCCGGTGCTGCCGGTAGGTCATCCAGCAGCACGGCTCCACGTCCGTCTCGTCGATCCCCCAGAAGGCGAGCTCCTCCTCGAACAGGGGCCCGCACACGTCCGCCGGGCAGTGCAGCTTGCCGGTCCGGTAGTAGTTCAGCACGTAGGCGAAGATGCCCGGGTGTCGGTCGAAGAAGAACTCGGTGGCGCTCGGGGGCTCCGCGTCCGAGTCGGTGCTGCCCTGCGAGTCGGGTTCGGCCAGCCACGCCAGGCGCGTCCCCGGCAGCGTCCTCAGGGTGCTCTTGTAGGTCTCATGTCGCGTGCCGCCGACGTTAATGATAATTTTGTCCGAGTCCTCGCCTCTGGCCATCTCCTCCTTCAGACATGATTTGGACGGAGGTTTGTTTCCAGACTTGCGCCCTCGGTAAGTCGAAACGCACACGGAGCTGATCATCTAGAGGCTGTTGGCTCTCCTCCGCCCAGCTGTTTGTGTCCGCTCGTGGAAAAGGATCACGAAGAAGAGGAGATGTTCAGGGTCATGTCAGAGCCCGGTCCTGATGGGGACCCATTTGGACGAGGTGACGCTGACCGCGGGAGGAAAAAGCGACAAAAGTGCAAACCACCTGTAAGAAAACTCCACCTCCTCCAAACACAAGTGATGGTTCGGCTCAGACGCGTCCCTCACAACGATTAACCCACACTTTGTACCTATTTGTTATCCACGAACCCAAATATTGGTCCTTTTAGTCCAAGATGCGCAAAAACGTGTCCAAATGACGGCCTTTTACGCACGGCGGCGGAACGCGCCTGTTGGATAATGAGGAACAACTCTACCCTTCTTTCACCTCCAGATCTTACCCAACACGTCCACGACTATCACTGACAACTTTTCTCCTCTCCACCCATAAAGAAAACCTGCTGCAGCTCAGTTTAATATTCGAAGAGGGGGGTAAAAAGACGCTCAGCTCGCGCGCCAGATGTGTTTCAGATCTTTCCCTGGCGACTCGTTCGGGTTGGGCAACAGGCTGGGTGAGTTAACTCTTTGGGTGCCGAAGGGCGACGCGTTCTGTCTGTAATTGGACCGGGAGGATGGAAGTGATGGTGAAGGGGGAGAGATGAGAACAATGTTTGCTGTGTTTTGTGGCTGCATTGCGCTGCGCACGATATTACTGAGAAATGATGGAAAAACACTGACCTGACTCAAACACTGGTTGATGCTGAAAACTATTCCTCACAACACGACAGCTTGCTTTAATTATAATTAATTACTACAAGTTGAAGATCATTTTTCATTTAGATTCCGTTGGCACTTTGTGGTAAATATAGTAATGTTGATTAAAAGGCAAATGTTTGGTTTAATCCAACAGGTAGCTGTCTGGTCTCTATTAGACAATATAAGGTTTCCATCTAGTGGATTATTCTGTGAACAACATGTTACAGAACTCATTTCTGCTGTTCATTATCACTATTAATAATTATCTGTCAATATTGTCTCTGTTTCTGACTCTTCAACTAAATATAAGCCTTTAAGGTTCCTCAAGTGCAACTATTTGACTCGTGCCTGAAACAGATTTTCATCTTTGTGTACCTTCATCAATCAAATCCAATAAGTGGATTGGGCTTGCAATGATCTATAAAAACAGTACATATCTGCAAAGTGTGTGTTGAGATTTTTAAAACTATTGTCGGATTCAAGTCTGAAATTACACTCGGACACTTGGATTGAAAAGTTCAAAAGGTGAGTTTACTGTGCCAAACCTTCATTTTATTTATTTTCATATGCATTTTGTTGTACCGTACATTTTAGGGCATTGCCAAATTTTCTTATAAGATCATTAATGTTATTTAAATTGTTGGCATCACTATTTGATTATGTGTGATGCTCTCTTGTTTAATTCTGTCACTTTGGCATTCCACACTTGATGCTGATTTATAACCATCTCACCTGCAATGTGTCATTTTCAGTGTATTTCCTGGTTTTCACTGATCCTCATTATTCCCTCTTTGTTCCTCTGCCTGTTTGGCCCATGAGTTATTTTAGTTGTTGTAGCTCTGCTTCAGTCGTTTAGTTTATTGTGTGGAAAAAAAAATGTTTATAAAGCCTGTACTGTATGTTAAGTACTATGAAATGAAAAATAAGAATTGTTTATATTTTGTTGTGCTTATTAAATGTCTGAAAACAGTGAGATGGGACTGATTTTATAGTAATTAATCTATCTACTGAAATACAACACTACAGTCCATGGTTTTAGTTCACTTCAGTAGTGGGACCCTGGGAGCTGCCTCCAGCCTGGTCGTTGCAGCTTCCTGCTCCTTGCTTGCACACCTTCTATAGTTTGTTTTGCTGATGCTCATTCTCATCCTTTTCAGCTTGATTGTTGTCCAGCCAAGAAATCGTCTGGTACACTTGTCGATGATCATCTTTTTATCCTCTTCACTAATGTTTCCTTTCAAAGCCTCATGTGGCACGCAAACGACTCCAGAGTTCTTCACTGCACCCTTCTCCCTCTGCCTGTCGTCCTCTGCCTTGTACAGTACTTGTCTGCATGTGGTTTCAATCCCTATAGGGGACAGCAGCAGCAGCAGCAGCAGCAGCAGCAAATCCTGGATGTTCTCATGGGTGTCACCCATTAGGATAACAAGTCTGTACTGTGGTGCCATAGGCTACTGCTTCATCAGGGTTGGTGCTCTTGTATAGATTTGACCATTAAATAAGTTCTGGGGTATTCATGTGGAACCACCAACAAGAACAGTTTCATGGATCTTAAACTTATCCAGCAGACAAGTTTAAGATTCATGGAACTCAACTGCATGGATTCAAAAATCCATGAAGTTCAATTTTCATGGATCTTAAACTTATCCAGAAGAAGGCCCTGCAAGATGCTGATCTTGCAGGGCCTTCTCAGCTAGCTCCAATGTTCCTCTGAATATATCCAAGTTGATCTCCTCAAAACGTGCTCATGTGACTGAGGTGTAGAAATCAAGACCCTCAAAGAGAGTCAATCTCGATGCTGGCCTGAGAGCTGGAGGACAAGGTACTATTTGTCCTCTCACAGACCGTCCGCAGTCTCCTCACTGCTCTGTTATTCTAGGAGGTATCCTTTTTGCATTTCCTTTTAAATTCAACAAAGTGATTGACCATTTGATTGTCAAAGCCCCCACACCCCCCTCCACACACACAAGGTACGTGTCCCCTACTGTGGCTTTCCCTTCAAATATGCCACCTTCAATGGTCAGAGACGGACAAGTTTTCTCCATCAAGATAAAAAATGAGCACATTACACACTCTTTTTCCCCTATCCAGGCCGTAGGCAATGGCTGCTGCTGAGTTCATTGAGGTCACTTCAGCATCCTTGGTGACTCTTTGCAAGTCATTGACATAAGCTGACACTGCTGCATTCAATACATTCTGTCCCAGAAAGGCCTCAGCAATCTCGCTCATTTTAACCAGAACCACTGAAGAAATCTCCTCAGTACCCTTAGTCTCCCTTTCGTACTTTATATTCCACCTGGACGTTAGGCTTCCCATTGTCATTTATCACCTTGAAAGGCCAGAATTTTATGTCAGACTGGACCATCTGATCATCAAACTTTCTCCCAATGAGCCGTTTGGCATCCAAGTTTGTGTTGGTCAGGACCACGGCAGCATCTCCGATGAGTCTTTGTCCATAAAGGCCACATTGCTGGCAATCGTTACCATAATCATTGGTGATGATTTCCAATTTTCTGTGCTGGAAAACACCAACAAGATGGTGTTCAGATCAATGCCAACAGATAAACCATTAACTGATGACATCTTGCTTGTTTGGAAATGTCTGAATTCAGAAAACAGATAAACTTGAACTGCCAAGTAACTCTTGGTTATTTAATATTTTTAGACTGTTGTTGTCAACACATATGAATGTGTCTAAATAATTTGAGTTATTTATTAGTGAGCCTAAAACCAAAATATATACGGTTTGAGATGAGTGAAAATTCCCCTTCAGACAATTTTTATTATATCTCATCATCATCACTTTTATTGTCCCCTTGGGGAAATTTTCCTTGCAGCAAAGTGGCGAGAAAATTAAATGAGCAAAAACCATTGCTGTGATGAGAAATCTACACACGTTTATGACTTATCATTAACTTGGATATAATATAGAAGAAAATCAAAACATTTACTCTAATACAAAGTACATTAATTTATAATCATTGTAGACTTTCAGATTTCTTTTTTTAAGTTTGACTGTTTTCATTTGTTTTGACAGCATCCTTCTAAAATCTTAAATTAAAAAAATGACTACCTACTTTCAGTGATGACCTTTGATTTTGACCTTTTTGTTGCGTGGATGGATCAAATGAATTCCCTTGGCGGGTTCCTGTGCTTCACCTTCTGTCTTTGTTTCTTCTGAAACTTGTGTCTGGACCGACTCAGGCCCATTGCTTAAATAGCTTCGGTCTGGTTTCCAGAACCCTCCCAGCCTCCTCCTCCTCCTTCAAGATGACCGAGCTGTTAATATTAGAAACAAATGAAGCTGCCCCGGAGCACGAGTTGATGAATTTTCTAAAGAGGGATAGTACTGGTAGTTTGACACTCATCTGACTGTGAAGGAAAGTAATGCAGCAGACACAGTCACATTTTTTTTATTTTATCTTTCATTAAAAAACACATAATTAGTTATCTGTTATAAAGATTTAATTTATTGCTGATTTAATGCATTAATTTTTATACTGTACACACAGTAGCATACACGTCATTTAATCACATGAAATGTTACTTAAGGTCATCCTGATGAATCAAGTTAGGACAAAACAATGATATGTCAGACACAGTCTAGTTTTAAACATACATACAGAAAAGGTAAGATGAGAAGCAGTGAAAGGAAGACATTAAATGCTCCAAAGATAAATGTGCTTTTACAAAAAGGAATCATTTCTTCATTTAAGGTTAGCGATGATTGTTGTACAGATTTGTCTTAAAACAAGTTGGGACAGTCTGATGATTACAAATGTTAAAATAAAGTTACTATGGGCATTATTATGGCATGAAGAACTTTCCATTTTTACCCTGACGGACTCGGCTCCTCAAATTCACTCATATTACTCACTTGATTTATAGTTTTCAATACTATATATATATATTTCTAGTTCTTGATACTGTTGCTGATAAAAAGTTACTAACATAAAAGTTTAATTAATCCACTTTTTTAAAGTGCAATCAAACCGTTTTTAACATTATCCAGTGTCCCAATGTTTTGAAAGACAAAGCAGAGCATGGTCAAAAAGGCACATTCATACCATGGCCTTTAAAGGCATCATCCATTCAGAAGGCTCTTCAGTGACAAAGACTTAAAGTGGAATGTGAGGGAGCAAATGGAAACTTGGTATGACATTAAGGAAGCAAATGGACAATGCTGCTATGGCTCTTGTCTCATCCACCATGAGAAGGTGCTGTTTATGACTGTTTGCTTGAAGCTCCTCAGACTGAAGGTTTTTTGGATAAAAGACGAAACGTTTCAACAAAGAAGAATCGATCTGACTCAACCTCGTTAGGTTTGTCTACCTGGATTATTGAGCATGGAGTTTTCCAAATTTCTTTTGAGGAATGTGCAAAACCTGTTGCCTTAAACACAGCACGTGCCCAAACATAATAATCACAGTCCTTTTACGGACAGTGTTGATTTAAAGCTTCACAAGCCAGAATTAGAAATACAATAAAATACTAGTCTATAACAGTTTTCAATAAACAACATTCAGTCATACTGTTCAGATAATTAGTGCCATCTTTCTTGGATACGTTTGTTACTTTTTTAGAGCCTGCTGGTAGATTCTATTTAACGAGATTATTTCATGCATATACTGTAAAAAAAATCCTAAAACAATGTTCATCCTAACAGTTTCCTTTGGCTTAGCCTAACATCTGGCTTAAGGAATGTGCCCATAAATTATTAATGCCACTGACAAACAAAACATAAATGGTATTTTTAGTTTCATATATACGGCCATCATTTGGCACTGTGCGTAAATAGAGTAAACATATAAATTGACAGCTCTGTGATCAAGAAACATAAACTAATTACACATCAACACATGCAAGCAGGCTGTTTGTAAAGACAAGACATCATGTTAGCTGATTATATATTATATGCTGTCTAGATATGTATTACTCTGAAATATTTAACACTACATCTGAGGTGCTGTTTAATAAGTTACATTCAGCTTAAGTAAAATAATTCCTCCATTTTGTAGCAGTTTTTAGAAAATAAAATAGATATCTCTGTTTTTCCCAGGACAAGTGTTGGCTGAGTATCAGACATCCTCATTAATACCTGCAAAGAACAAGATGAGTTTTAAGTAATCACACAGATCTGGTGTGGTTACAAAACAGAAGCTGGTAAGTATCGTATTTTCCACACTATATGTTGCTCCGGAGTAAAGGTTGCATCAGTCAAATATGACTCATGAAGAGGAAAAAACATATAAAAGTCGCTTCGGAGTAGAAGTCGCATTTATTATATGTCACCGCTGACCCCGGGAAACGTGGGCCGGTGTCGTGCCAAAAACTGATTGGCTGACAAAAATTGATTGGTGACTGCGGGAGCGTGCAGGGGAGGACTCGTTGTTGCAGTTCTTCGAAATTAAACAAGATTAACACTTAAAAACAATTATTTGTTTGCTCGACATTATAGCAAAGATGTGTCTCAGTTGAACTTTTCCTTAATAAATGAACTTTCGTGGTCAAAACAGCTTCGTTTCACCTGGGCAGCGCGGTCGTGTTGCACTAAAAACAGTCCGACCCAATTGGCACCGTGCCAGTGGCCCCATCCCTCCGAGAGGCATGGGGTCCACGGCCCCAGGAGGCGGTGAGGTGCAGGCAGGAGAGCGCTGTGGAGCTCACATCTGGAGCCGCAGGCTCTGCAGCGTTCCTCCGCCGTGGAGCGGGGAGGAAGGGGGCAGCAAGGCACGTGGTCTGCGGCCCCAGGAAGCGGTGAGGTGCAGGCGGGGGGATGCTGTGGAGTTCAAGGCCAGAGCCGCGGACTCTGCAGCGTTCCCACAGAGCCGGAGCGATTCATGTTCGGTTCATGTCAGTATGAATGAACATTTAAAGCATTAATCAAAAATTGTGTCATGACTAGGGGAAAAATGTATATATGTCGTTTTGGACTATACGTCGTAGGACTGGCCAAACTATGAAAAAAAGAGCTACTTATAGTCTGGAAAATACGGTAATTAAAAAAAATGGCAAAAGCCATACACCAGAGTGATACCAACCTGTAATAATTAGGTTTGAAAGGGCCATTCTTGTTGAGCCCCATGTACTTGGCCTGCTCGTCAGAAAGCTCTGTCAGGTGAGCGTCAAAGTTTGGCAGGTGCAAACTGGCCACATACTCATCTAAAAGCAGAGACAGCTCATAAGTCACACTGTCTGAGCATATAAACTCCTCTGTATGATGTACGTTTTATTAAAGATCAAAAGGTGGCAGCAGTGAGAAACAAGTAAAAGAAGCACAGCTTACCCATTTTTTTGGGCAGAAGATAGACATCTTGTTTGTACCGTCCTTCTGGAGCATTATACAACTCAATCAAGGCCAGGGCCTACAGACAACACAGAACACATGATGGCTACTGTATTCACAAGAAACGACTGAAAACAAACACCTTTCTGCAGGATAAAACCTCCTACCTGGGTTGTAGCGGTGATAGACAATACAAAAGTAGGCACTGTAGAACAGCTCAAATTTAAGAGGCGACCCTGAGATTACACAAAGACACAAAGCCCATTGTGGATTCTGTACACAAATCAAACACACGTTTTTATTTTTATGAATAAAGTCCCTTGTGCTACTCACTAATCACACTTTGTGAGGACTTATAGTAGTGATGTCAAGAACTTTACCTCTGCCAGTAGAACAACCCGCTTTCCATCTGGCCAGATGATGTGGTCCACCTGAGAGCGGACCCTCTCCCAGGTCAGTTCAGGGCTACGTAGACTTGCCTGTGGATATAAAAAAGACATAAACACCCCCAAAAAAAGACTAAAGTTACAAACATTTCTACACTGATCAATTACATTAAACAGTGTGACACTGAAGCAGCTCTGAAAAGTCGAACAGTAAACCAACATTTCTCTGAGTCATGTGGAGCCTGGGGAAATGCTTGAGAGTAAAATTATTCGAGTTTTGAGTCGGAGTCGGGTGCTCAACAGGATGAAGTTTTGAGGACCACAGAAACAACACGGTGGTGTAAGTTCTCAGTCATCCAGGATGACGATTCTAAAAGGAAACTGGACTTCTTTTGAGTCTTGAAAATTTGACGTATAAGTCTGAATCTCCCAAACGCTCTTTTAGAACTGAAGAAGCCTTTTGGATGAGAGGTGAAATGTCTTCAAGAATTAAGAGGAACAAGTGCAGTTGCCTTTTGTTGAACCACTCAGGACCATAGAAACAAGGTCAACACACCGGACTCTGTGTGGAAGGCATGGTTTTTCATTTGGCAGCCAAAGCAAACAGTGTAGGCTTTACCATACAGGTCTTTAAAAATAATCATATTGGTCTGGAACATGTTCAAAATTTCTATAAATAAACATGATATGTGTTCTTTTTATCTTTATCATTTATTGTGTGCATGACAATAGGATCGTCCAGCCTACTTTAAATTCTAGACAAGAGGAACAAGTGACCCAGTGAGGGGGTTTTGTTCAATATCCGGTCCATAATTGGGACATCTTGTTGAAACAAGTCTTAAACAAATGACACAGCTCCACAACGATGATTGCAGTTAACCATTAAAGAGCAATTTAAACGAGTGCTGGCTAGTTAGGGTTTGTTTTAGCCGAGCACCTTTTAATTAACCTCCTCCTCACATGTAATTTATGACCATCATGCAAATGGCTGAAGGTCTGGTTTACAAAGCAAGTACAGATCATGCAAAATATGTTTGAGCTCATCATGTATTATTGGCTGTTAGATAATTTATACAGTATGCATGGTTATTGCACCACAACTGAAAGTTAAAGAAAGATGGGTAAAAAAAAACACACTATTCATATTTTGTATTGCATTTTTAAGCATAGAGGGAGATTCAGGAAGTAGCTCTTTAACAACCAAGCACTCTGGATTTCTAAAATGAGAACTTTAATCCAGAGAAATTTCAAATGAGGATTGAGACATTGAGGCGTTTTGGTAGAATTTACTGAACTAAATATGATTAGAAAGTACAAAAACAAGACAAAAACAAGCATCTTACTCTTCACAATACTCCATAGATTTTCTATGGGGTTAAGGTCAGTTGAGTTTGCTGGCCAATTAAGAACAGGGATACCATGGTTCTGAAACCATATTCTGGTAGCTTTGGCACTGTGTGCAGGTGCCAAGTCCTGTTGGAAAATGAAATCTGCATCTCCATAAAGTTGGTCAGCAGCAGGAAGCATGAAGTGTCTAAAACTTCCTGGGAGACGGCTGCGTTGACCTTGGACCTCAGAAAACACAGTGGACCAACACCAGCAGATGACATGGTCCCACAAACCACCACTGACTGTGGAAATTTAACACTGGACATCAAGCAACATGGATTTTGTGTCTCTCCTCTCTTCTTCCAGACTCTGGGTCCTTGATTTCCAAAGGAAATGCAAAATTTACTTTCATCACAGAACATAACTTTGGACCACTCAGCAGCAGTCCATTCCTTTTTGTCTTTAGTCCAGGAGAGATGCTTCTGACACTGTCTCTTGTTCAAGAGTGGCTTGACACAAGGACTGCGACAGCTGAAACCCATGTCTTGCATATGTCTGTGCATGGTGGTTCTTGAAGCACTGACTCCAGCTGCAGTCCACTCTTTGTGAATCTCCCACACATTTTGGAATGGGTTGTGTTTCACCATCCTCTCCAGGGTGCAGGTATCCCTATTGCTTGTACACTTTTTTCTTCCACATCATTTCCTTCCCTTCACTTCTCTATTAATGTGCTTGGACACAGAGCTCTGTGAACAGCCAGCCTCTTTAGCAATGACCTTTTGCGTCTTGCCCTCCTTGTGCAAGGTGTCAGTGTTCATCTTTTGGACAACTGTCAAGTCAGCAGTCTTCCCCACAATTGTGTAGCAGAACTAGACTGAGAGACCATTTAAAGGCCTTTGCAAGTGTTTTGAATTAATTGGCTGATTAGAGCGTGGCACCAGGTGTCTTCAATATTGAACCTTTTCACAATATTCCAATTTTCTGAGATACTGAATTTGGGATTTTCATTAGTTGTCGGTTATAATCATCAACATTAAAAAAAATAAACATTTGAAATATATCAGTCTGTGTGTAATGAATGAATATAATATACAAGTTTCACTTTTTGAATGGAATTACTGAAATAAATCAACTTTTTCATGATATTCTAATTTTATGACCAGCACCTGTATATAACTTCACTTCTCAGACAAAAACATACCACATCTATCTCAGTATTGGAATGCCCCATGTTGCAGACAATGCAGCCATTCTTCATCCGATCAAGCTGTTCTCTGGAAACAACATTCTTGTTACCTGTATGAAAAAAGAACAAAATAAAATCATGACCGACTAAAGAGAATCAGTAAGTCCAAATATAAATATGTTTTACCATCTGTCGTTGCATGTATTCAGCACATAGATTCAACTTAACTACAGTTTTATACAGTGTAGCAGTCAAACTCAGAGGTAACTCCAAGTGCTTAAAGAACCAAATAGATTATTAAAAGCCTGAGATTCCTTGAAGGAATACATATCACCCACCATGTTTCATGCCAGACTCTGACAATCCAATCATATAATAAGGCGGAACAGACTTGTAACCATTTTGGTCCAACCATGTAAATGATGTTATGTGTAACATTAAGCAAGACCATGTGAGATGCCTCCAACAAAGTTGTCAGGACCTCTGGACGGTTTCTTTTTATTGAAATGTTTCTTCTTTCATCCAAAAGACTTCATCAGTCGGAGGAGCCACAACAAACTCAGTCTTATAAATAGCACCTTACATAGTGGGTCAACCAGTTTGATGGTGCTACGATGGTCACCATGTGAGATGCTTTAGCTCTCTGAGAACATTTTGGGGATGACTATCAGCCACAACATCAAACTTTAGCTCAATATCTAAAACTGGCGGGGTTAGAGCCACTCTTCTTTGAGCTAATGGCGATTAGCTGAAGGTTTAATTAAAATCAAACCAGTGGTTCATGAGAAACTTTGCTAACAGACAGTCAGAGATGACTTCAATAATCAAAACTAAAGAATAAAATAAATTATAATCATTTTTGAATGCTGGAAACTTTGTAACCAATAAAGTAGAAGTAGCAAGTGTCACTGCATGGAGCACAGTACCGGTGCAAGTTATGACCACGTCCATCTGCCGGATGACCTCGCTCAGCTTGACCACTCGGAATCCATCCATACTGTGTGGATAAAAACATCTGTGTTGTCATCGCGGCTAATTAGATGCTCAACACAGATACAAAACATAGTGCAGCACATTTAGTGATGCAGTAGCGCTGCATGTGTAGTGACTCACCATGCCTGCAGGGCACAGATGGGGTCGATCTCTGTGATGCACACAATGGCTCCAAGGGCTTTAAGAGCAGTGCAGCAGCCTTTCCCCACCTACAGTTTACAAAATCAAGCAATATAAAGGTCTGCCTCCCCGAAAGAAATCCATTCATTTCACGTACATCGTTTATAAACTTAGAAATGAGTCACCTCTCCATAACCACACACAACCACTTGTTTTCCTCCAAACATTATATCTGTGGTCCTCTTCAAGCTGGCAGGGACAAACACAAGATCTCAATCAGTTTGAATTATCTTTATGCTCCAAATACAGGATTTCACCACAAACAAGAAAACATAGCACAGATAAATAAAAATAAATGTTCTCAAGGATTTAGTCTGCTCACCCGTCCAGGATGGATTCACGGCAGCAGTACAGATTGTCAAACTTCTGCTTGGTAACAGAGTCATTCACATTCATTGCAGGGACACACAGCTTGCCAGCCTTTGACAGCTGGTACAGTCTGAGAGGAAATGTAGAGAACCTTGTTCAGACATACATTATACATGTTGAAGAAAAGTCCTGCATGACCTTAAACTTTACAGAGTGTCTGGCTAATCGAGGATGTTCTGTGCTGAATAAGCAGTAGAGCTCTGTCTCTTTTCTCAAATAGCTCAAAGATAAACCAGGCACATGTCCTTTTATCATCATGTCCCAGTACTAACGTGACTAATAAAACATCACATACTGCTTCTGTTGACATAATATACAGTCATCAGACACTGGGTTCATTGAGATCTAGACACATTCTTGGGAAGAAGCTTCACAGAAATTAATCTAAAGAAAGATACATCTCGGTCTAAAACAGAGCAGCAACAAGAATAGTGCCATCAAATGACACATAAAAAATTTACCTAATAAACATCTAAAGACATTTCTTTTATTCTTCGTCTGTAACTCTTAAAATTAAAGCCCCGCCTCACCTGTGAACACCAGTGACACTCTCCTCTACGATGCCCCGGACTTTTTTGAAGACACTGGGATACTTCTTGTACACCCAGTGAGTTAAATCTCCCCCGTCGTCCAAGATCTATGACAAACAAATCAATCACAGCACTGAAGAGCTGATGTAAGAGACATCTAACATGTTTTATGTTTTAACATGTTTTAACATGTTTTAAGTCCAAATGATACCATGTTGGCTTGCCAGCCCTCAGTGTTGACACTGCGATCGATGCACCACCAGAAGTCGTCCTCTGATTCACCCTTCCATGCAAACACAGCTACGCCTGCAGGAATTAAAACACATGATGGGCAAAGACATCATGAGCTCATCAGAATGCATTACAGAGTGAAAGCACAGGTGGGAAAATGGTGTTTAGACATCTCAAGTTACCTTAGAGTTCCTTAAGTTTATTATTCAATGAAGTAATTAAGACAAACCCAATGAACTTTTTACCAAATGCACTATTTATCAGATCTTAGACTGTTCTTATAAAAGGTTTTTTATTTGTAGAAAGTAGACATTTTATAAAGACCAATATTCCAAAAAGAATAACTCTTATTATGCGCCTTTAGGTTCCCTCTGTGCAATAAATCTAAGATGAAAAACAGCTATACAAAAACAACAGTTATGCGTTATTTGCTTTATGAATATACAGTATTTTCTGCCGTCGCACTGCCCAATATGTCTCATCAGTCTATATTTGTCAAATAAAGTAGAAAAATTCATAAATGCATCGCTTCGCCGTATAAGTTGCATCTATTATGCGTCACCGCTGACGATCAGGAAATGTGGGCCGGTGTTGTGCCAAAAATCGATTGGCTGCCAAATGGTGGCCGCGGGAGGACTTTAACAAGAATTTAACAAGATTAACACTTAAAAACAATTATTTGTTTGCTCGAAATTATAGTAAAGGTGTGTCTCAGTTGAACTTTTCCTTAATAAATGCACTTTGATGGTCAGATCAGCTGTATTTCAAAAGCTGATATGCGGAAACATGAACGTGCAGAGGAACGAGTCGCTGTGCATTTCTTCAAAATTTAACAAGATAACCACCTAAAAACAATTAGTTGTTAGCTCGACTTTATAGTAAAGGTGTGTCTTAGTTGAACTTTTACTTAATAAAAGGACTTCAGTGGTCAAATCAGCTGCAGTTCGCCAGGGCAGCGCAGCAAAATGAAGCTGATTTGACAGTTGCTCCAGGCAGACGACAGTGGCTTGCCATCATTAATAGTCACTTTTACCTATTACATGATACAACGGCATGCCATACTACTCGAGTGCCATACTACTCGAGTGCCATCGAGCGGCTGAAAAATGGTAGTATTCAATATTTTCAGTCAGAATTAATTAAAACGGTCATATCTCAGCCAAAAATTTGTTTATAAATATGGGAAACATAAATAACATAAAAATATAAAAACACTTTGGCCTATAAGTCGCAGGGCATGCAAATTATGCAAAAACTATGACTTATAGAGCAAAAAATAGGGCAACTTTTTTAAAATACAGTACTCTTTTAACTAATGTAAACTGATCTACTTCCATGGTTTTTTGTATTCTATCTAACATTGTCATGTTTTTCTTTTTACAACTCTCAATTCTTGGTTTCTCTTTACAAGACTGTTATGACTTTTGTAAGAGATTACATTTTAAAAAACAAAGTAAGATGACAGAAAGTCTTAGAGGTGACCCGGCATTGGAGGGGAGGCAACCTCACCTATCTCAGCGAGAGCAGCTGCCACCTCGTTTTGAGTGGAGTAGATGTTACAGGCAGTCCAGCGACACTGGGCCCCAAGAGCCACCAGGGTTTCAATCAAGACCTGAGCAGCGTGACAGAAATATGTATTAAAAGACAGCAGTAGTAAATGTGACAAACACCAGCTGGACCTGCAGGGAACAGGGTGGAAGTACATACAGCTGTCTGAGCAGTTATATGGGTGCAGCCCACTATCTTGGCCCCCGCCAGTGGTTTCTCTCCCTGAGCTCTCTTCCTCAAGGAAATCAGTGCAGACATGTCTGGTGTTGGAGAAACACAGCACAGTTAAAGGTAACAAATGCAACTCAGTGCTCTAGACGAGCTTTGAGGCATTTCCACTAAACGTGCATTTTTTGTTTTCAATAATAACCAGCTGCAGCAATGAATCTAAACACTGACAATCAGCATGTATGTGTATTTAACTCATAACAACACACAAACAAAATAAAGAAACAATGCACCAGCTGGTCAGTTAAAGAAAGTCATTTTTTTATGTCAACATCGACTCACAAGCTTGTCAGAAAAAACTAACTGTAGGAAAAACAAACTGCAAATAACAAGACAGTTTGTGGCAAGAATGGGAACCAGTCAGCTATTTGTGGATTAAGACTTGATGAGAAGTTTGGTTTTGAGTGAAGGAAAAGTGAGCAACCTTTGTAAGCTACACAAAAACATCTGATTTTGAGAGGACTATTTGTAACAAAGGATGCTGATAAAACAGTCAGTAACAAAACAACTGTTGTCACTCAAATTTTAGGCCTTAGAGCAAAACAGAAGAACAGACACACACTAGTTTTTATTACTATCCTTGTTAGGACATTGTATTGACTTTCACAGACAGTCCACTCTGAGTGTGAGGTCAAACTCTGTGTGTGAGGTCAGACCCTGTGTGTGAGTTCATACTCTGTGTGTGAGGTCAGACCCTGTATGTGAAGTCATACTCTGTGTGTGAGGTCATACTCTGTGTGTGAGGTCAGACTCTGAGTGTGAGGTCATACTCTGTGTGTGAGGTCATACTCTGTGTGTGAGGTCATACTCTGTGTGTGAGGTCATACTCTGTGTGTGAGGTCATACTCTGTGTGTGAGGTCATACTCTGTGTGTGAAGTCAGACTCTGTGTGTGAGGTCAGACTCTGTGTGTGAAGTCAAACTCTGTGTGTGAGGTCAGACTCTGTGTGTGAGGTCAGACTCTGTGTGTGAAGTCAGACTCTGTGTGTTAGGTCATACTCTGTGTGTGTGAAGGAAGTCATACTCTGTGTGTGAGGTCATACTCTGTGTGTGAGGTCAGACCTTGTGTGTGAAGTCATACTCTGTGTGTGAGGTCATACTCTGTGTGTGAGGGTCATACTCTTTGTGTGAGGTCAGACTCTGTGTGTGAGGTCAGACTCTGTGTGTGAGGTCAGACTCTGTGTGTGAGGTCAGACTCTGTGTGTGATGTCAGACCTTGTGTGTGATGTCAGACCCTGTGTGTGAAGTCATACTCTGTGTGTGA